GGTTTTGAGCGCCAGGCTAAGATCGATATTAACATATCTTTCACTTTATTTCGCTAACGATTCGACAAGAAAGAATGGCGTTCTTGATGGCAGAACAAACAAGCGCATTTTTGAGATAGCTGAACCCGATTACCAAACCAGAAACAGTGATGTCCTTAGCAGTAGCAAGCATTTCGAAGGTCCATTAGTGTGCACGGCTGCTGTGACAGTGTCTGTAACAATACTTAATGAGGTTAACCGTAGGGTCGCTTCCATACGACGTTCTGAGTCCGAGTTATTTAAAAGAGTTTTAACTTTTGTATTTAAGTACCGATTACGGAACATGTCTCATCCACTGGAGGAGATTTACCGTTTTCGCAGGAGTAGGCAAGCTCGCGACTTAGCTTCGACGTTGCCGATGAAGATCACTGATTCACTATGCCTGTGATTCACTTTTCATTTAAGGTCAAAGGTTGCAGCTAGTCTTTCGAGTGAGGGGAAGAAGCTTTCTCTTGTCTTCTTTTGACAGGGTCTAAGTTTCAGATTCATGAAACATATATCACAAGCCTATGCCGTAAACAACCAGTGGGGAAAACGACGCGAGGCTTAAAGACAAAGATACAGGCAAACCAATCTGTTCAAGACTCGCCAACGCAACGCAGGCCAAAGCATGATACGAAACCGCGACCTCAAAGCTCCATTGGGGAAGTAATTACATGGAGCGTGGCCCCAAAGCAAACACTGCTACAGACGCTTAACCTCGAAGGTTCAATTGTTGCAGGAAACTAAGCCAATTGCTCCTTGAATAAATGATTACAAACTAACGACAAAACATTTACATATTCGAAACGTGGCTGGCTACACGGATTCCTAAAGCAGATTTGCATAAGAGATGAAATACTGAATACTCAAATATTTCAGTAACAAAATTTTCGTCACATTACATGCAGGACATGGGCACATAGGATCAAGCTTCGACTGACTTGCCGCTTCTGAAGCTCAAGAACATGTCTCATGTCATGTATAAAAATATTTTATGAAAGTTTCATGAATCCTGCAGCTGAAGCCGCTTCATACTTTAAGCGTACTTAAGTCTCATCTTCATAAATGTTGTCACGTTTTTATTGATCCATTAGTCAAGGCTTAGTGTCTAAACTACATTTTTATACTTCGAAATGAATGTTTTTCATTTTACGCTTCAGCTGGAAATTTTCTTAACGTAAGGAAGTTAAAAAATTTTTCTTAACGATGTAAAGCTCATGATTAGAATTTGTGCAGTTGATCGTATATCGCTTGAATGGACCTTGGCAGAGCAAGTGCTAGTAATTTGGTCTTGTGAAAAACGAACAGGTATCTGATTTGATCATTCCTCGCCATCCGCAGCATTGTGAGTTCTAGGACGGGACTCAACTCCAGGGCATTCGGTAGCAGTGGCTTTCAGTCTGGCATCTTCTGAATGGCGTCAAGCAAAGAAAATCGCTTTATCGTCGAATGGCGGAAAGAAAGGAATAGCTTAAAATGTACAGCACGGAAAGATGCTGAACAACAACTGAAATACGTTGTAGAACGCAATCACATAGCTGACAAGGGCCTCTCGTATGACGACAGTAAGCAGCGTTGTCCAGGCAAACGAACTTTACCTACCTACCTACCTACCTAATCAAGACTATCGTAAGCAACTGATCAAATAAATGGCATCTTGTACACAAACAGGTTATCAGTAAGTTACTGTATAATGCTACAGGATCCGGACAGCCGGTTCTCTCAAGACATCAGAACGATTCACAGAAGCGGTCAAAACAGGCTATCGCAACGGTATACCTCAAGAAATCTTGAACTGACCTATGCGCTGACTCCCAGTTTCCAGTGGCACTGAAAACGCCCACACAGGCGGTGTACTCTGACAGAGGAAACACGATAGACGGTGGACGTTTCGGACGGCCGGCACATGTGACAACGACGGGGGGACAGTGACCACCACCTCACGCATCCATTCAGGCATCGTTGATCATCCTGGGCGGTGGATGTGAAACGGCATGGCGATGAGCAACGGGGTGGCGCGTTATGTTGCAACACGATTCAACATGTTCGGACATGTAAGCGGCTGCACAGCGCCTGGCTGGCTGATCACTTATCAGCTGTACGTTCAGCTACGTTATCCGTTCAAAAAATGGATTTTAAGCCGGACCAGTCGACGTACAAATGCAAACGAAAAAATTCAAAAAAAAACACCTACTCCTCGAATGGCCGGTCGAGCGGTGTGACCAGTGGTCAGCGTAAG